AGATAAGCGTAAGTATAAGATTCTCATGTAAGCTACGTAAGAGCGAATAAAGAAATCAGTTTGAAATAGTAACTTAGAAAAAAAGACGTCCTTTATTTTGGTCGCGCTATTCAAAAATTTAAATTGCATTGCTATGTTTTAGCAAATATAAATGTTTAAACGAATAGATTCACAGCTTTCCCTCACACCCGTCTCCAACATCCAAGTAGAATCCCTTCAGTTCTGCAGTAGGGACGCGGTGACATGGCTCAAGGCAAAAAGCTTTTTTGTTTTTTTTTTGTGCCTAAAACGCTGTGCCGCTGTTGACGTCAGCAGAGAAGTCGGCGCAGCGTAGAAGACTGCCTACGAAAACGATCGTGCAACAAAGAGGGCAGATATTCGGAGCTTCCCTCTCTTTCTGTGTCTTCCCTTCAGTTCTGCAGTAGGGACGCGGTGGCATGGCTCAAGGCAAAAAGCTTTTTTGTTTTTTTTTTGTGCCTAAAACGCTGTGCCGCTGTTGACGTCAGCAGAGAAGTCGGCGCAGTGTAGAAAACTGCCTACGAAAACGATCGTGCAACAAAGAGAGGCAGATATTCGGAGCTTCCCTCTCTTTCTTTGTCTTATAATCTGCCTGCACTCGACGCTCTCATAGACAAATTTCGCCAGGTTCGTTATTTCTTTTGAGTCTCTCCGTTATGTTCGGCTAGCGACTAATGCGGAAAAATTTTCGTGGCGCAGCGACATATGAATGCCCTAATATTTTAGGAGCATTATTGTATATCGAAAAAAACAACTAATATTGTTTTATAAAAGTAAATTGAATTTACTTTTAATGTTATGCATACGTATTATACATTAACATTACAATATTATTTTTTAGTTAAGTTATAGAAATTTAGTTCGTTAGAATTTATTCAAATATTTAAAACATTTTAATAGTACCATTTTTAAAGAATTCATTTTGTATTTTTTACTCAAAAAAGTAAAAATTATGTAGTCGGATTTTTTTGCTTTAGAAACCCTTCAGTTCCAAAAAAAAAGTTTCACTTGTGAATCACCTTGTGAATCCCGTCGGACATGTCCTCTTGCACAAGTGAAGAACAAGTTTTTTTTTTTTTTAAATGTTTTGCTTTTTATTTATTGAATCTTCTCCCTTTGGATACTAACAATAAGTGTATCAAATCTTAGACTAATTAATCTAACTCACAGTCATATGACTGATGTTGTGCTAAAGGGGCCCGAAAGTTATAGCTGGCTTAGCAGGTCGTTGCGTTGTAGACGGGATCGGCTGGAAACCCTAGTCAAGCCTCTTGCGAGGCGATTGGGGTGCACAGAGAGTTTTTCGTTGTAGGACGCTTTTTGTTTGTCTATTTCATCTTTTACGGTAAGAATGCTTAGGTCCCTGTGGATGTTTTGGTTGCGAATATACCATGGTGCCCCAGTGATAGTTCGCAGGATTTTCGATTGAACGCGCTGTATAATGTCTATGTTGCTTCTGCTGGCGTTCCCCCATAGCTGGGAGCCATATGTCCAGATGGGCTTGAGAGTGGAGTTGTAGAGCAAAACCTTGTAGTCCAGACGCAGGGGCGAACGGATTTTGATCCGCCAATCAGATAGCCACTTCTCTACTACGAGGAGGTGGTTTGCTAGTTGTGTTGTGGCTCGGCCTGGGCACCTCGAGCGACTTAAAATTGCGGTGTCGTCAGCGAACGCAGATGTTGTTAGCTGCTCGTTTGTGGGAATATCCGCTGTGTATAGGAGGAACAGAGTAGGCCCTAGAGCGCTTCCTTGCGGGACTCCAGCTTTGATAATGTAGTCGTCGGATGTTGTTGTATTGCACCTTACTGCGAAGGTCCTGTTGTATAGATACGACTCAAGAAGCTTGTGAGTGTAATCAGGTAAGTGTGTTTTGATTTTGTGCATGAGGCCATCTAGCCATACTCGATCGAAGGCTTGAGATACATCGAGGAATATTGCGCTGCAGTATTCCCGATGCTCAAAGGATGTGCTTATTTCTGATGTTATTCTGTTAACTTGTTCGATTGTTCCATGGTTTTGACGAAATCCAAATTGATGAGCAGGGATAACATTGTATGCTCCTAGATATGGTGTTATGCGAGTTAGAAGGCATTTTTCGAACAGCTTAGACAGACACGATAATAAACTAATTGGTCTGTAGGATGACGGAATTGTGTGGTCTTTTCCGGGCTTCGGTATCATAATGATAATAGATTTTTTCCATTTTTTCGGATAGTAGCCGAGAGTTATAATCCCATTGAAGAGCTTACAGATAACCTCAATGGCAGAGTTTGGAAGTTCAATTAACATTTTTGGGGTTATTTGGTCACCGCCAGGGGCCTTTTTTGGTTTCAGTTCCCCAATGACTTTCGCGATCTCCTTTGGTTGAAACAATGGTGATAGGGAAATAGATTCAGATTCGATTTGTGGTAGGAAAAATGAACCAGTGGCAGGGTTCGGCTGGAAGACGTTTCTTAGATGTAAAGCAAAAGTTTCGGCTCTATCTTCGTCGCTGCGGGCCCAGATGCCAGATGAGTTTCTTATCGGAGTGACTGTTTCGATTGGAGAGCTCAGATTTGGGTGAGCCCTCCACAGAGGATGTTTTGTACTGGTTGGCGATAGTTTTTTAATGTACTGCAGCTGTGCATTTTCTGTTTCTTGCTTTAGAGCTCAATTTAGTGAGCGAGTGGCTTCCTTAAGACGTTGTTTTGATGACGGCGATCTGTTGGTTTGCCATGCACGTCGCAGGCCCCTCTTTTCTAGGACTAACCGTTCAATTTGCAGATTAGTTTTGAAGTGGTTGGTTTGCACGTCCCTGCCTTGTGGTGTTGAGATAGTGGCTGCCTCCACGAATACTTCTTCAAGAGCATCGGTAGAGCAGTCGATGTCCGCTTCGATGTTGAAGTGAGGGGTTAATTTGATGTGTGAGCTTACATACTTTTTATATTTTAACCAGTTGGTTCTGTGCGACGTCAGCCTGAGGGGGTGATCTGTGGTTTTTGTGCTTTGAAGAAGAGTTATTAGCACTGGCGAATGGTCTGACGACAGGTCCGAAAGCGCTTTGGCGCTTATTATATTGCGGGGAATGTTTTTTGTCACCGCAAAGTCTATTAGGTCTGGAACTTTCCTGGGGTCTGTTGGCTAGTATGTGGGGCTGCCAGGGGAAACATAGTCTAATTTGTTGTTCGGTTTTATGATTGCATTGTATAATTGCCTTCCTTTGGGAGTCACAAGGCGTGATCCCCAGTGCGTGTGTTTGACATTATAGTCCCCAGCAGCTATAAAGCGCTCTCCAAGCAAGTTGTAGTCCATGAATTGTCCTTCAGAAATTGTAAAGCGAGGCGGGCAGTAGACAGCGGCTATGGTGAGGTTTCCGTTGCCTGACTGCACTTTGATAGACGTGGCTTGCAAGTAATTAGTTGAAAGCCTTTGGTGAAAGTGGTACTTGATGCGTTCCCTGATTAGGATGCCGGTTCCGCCGTGGGCCTTACCATCTGGATGGTCTGTGCGGCCTCTTATTTGGAAGTTGTATTTGTTTGTGAGGTGCGTCTCTACCAGTAGCATAATGTCGATATGATTTTCATTAAGGAACTGTGTTACTTCAAGGTTGTGCCGTGAAACGCCATTGGCGTTCCACATTGTTATTCGTAGATTTGCCATCTGATTATTTGGACTGCTTAGCTGCAAGTAGCTGTAACACCATGTTCTGGTTTTGAACCAGTGTTTGCATGGTCGTTTTCATGAATGACATGAGTTCCATCATACTTTGTTGCATGGTGACCATCATAGTTTCCAGAGTGCTTTGCGACTGTTCTTGGATCTGCTGAGCGTTTCCTAGATTAGACTGGAGTGGGTTTTCCGTCCCCGATCGAAGGGCATCGGCGTATGAGAATCCCTTCTGGGTATTTAGTTGACCAAAGGAGGATCTTGCAGCCGTGCCGAAAAATACTTCCGGCGTCGTACGCGAGTAAGTGTACGCATTTTGGGTATTCTGATGACGCGTTACTATCACTTTTCGCATGCGGTCATTCTTCTCCTTGTAGATCGGACAGCCCCTGTAGTTTGCTGTCTGGTTACCTTAGCAGTAAACGCATTTTTTCTATTTGGGGTCTTCTTTGTTGGCACACAGACTGTTCGAAGCGAACAGTATACCCTGTTGTGTGCATACTCCTGACAATTTGTGCATTGCACTGGGTCGTTCCTTTTATGTGGCTCTTCCACGTTAATTCTTCGGTGCAATAAGTATTGCAGGTTATAAATGGGGTGCACTTCATTTTTCTTCAAGAATCTGCTGTCTGGCTCCAGCTCGACCCTGAAGAGTGGTTGCGGCTCTTTTTTCCTGTTTATAATGTTACTGACGTTCTTTGCAGAAAACCCTTTTTTCTTGAGAGCATCGATAACTTCCTTGGCGGTTACGTCGGGCTCGATTCCTTTTATTACCACTTGCAGGCCCTTGCTGCTTTTTAGTTGGTACGTGTAGTAGCTTTTCCTAGCTTCCTCCAGGTATTTGGATACTGCTCGGAAATGTTCTTCAGATTTGGTTTGAAGCTTGGTTTCATGGATATCCCCTTTTGTGACCGGAACAACATGAAAGTTTCCGTCTCCGGTCAGCGCAACAATTTTGTTGACCAGGGCGTTCGAGATTTTCTCCCTAACAAGTGACGCTCCAAATAGAAAATTGTATGGGATGTCCGCATTTTCACAAGTGAAAATTCAAATGAAAATTTTTCGCAGTCCCACGGGATTTCACTTGTTCCTTATACTTATTTTTGGTATGGCCAAGTGAAATCACTTGTGAAAGTCAAAACTTTTCCATAAGTTTTCACTTATGACTTCACTTGCAAGTGACACTTTCCAAGTGAAATCACTTGTGAAAATCAGAATTTTTCCAATGAGTTCAATTATGAATATATAGAATTTAAAATGCATACATATTTAATTTCATTTTAGTTAATTTTAATTATACGGTATTATTTAAATTTTCACAAATTTGACTTTTATTATTTCGGTTTTTTTGTTTGGTGAGATTATTTTTTACATTTGTCATAGCAAACATTTGTCCGGGTCCTCGGAGTCCTTGGCCAACGCTCCTGAAAAAATGTAATGGCATATGTTTAGAAATGCGTTTTATTTGCTTATTTGTATATTTACCTTTAAGAACTCCGTAAAACCCTATATGGGATCGGAGGGACTTTTTCCCGTTGGACCCTTCCAAATTGTAGGTATTAATCATTTCTTCGGCTATGACCAGCTTGAACCTCTTTGACAGCGGTTCGCTACCAAATATTTTGGATATTTTCTTTGTCTGCAAATAAAAATAAAAAAGAAACATAGAAATGCAAAAACAAGTCGGCCTTTCTCGATACTTACGTAAAAACCGATGAGCTCCGGGGTCAAGGAATTTTCGAACGCATCTAGGTCCTCTTCCGTTTTTTAACGGAAACGGTACCGCGCCCCCTAATCTCCTTGTCTGGAGCGAACGATACCTTCCAAAGCGCGGTGACTTCCGCCACTTTGTCCGCCAAAATGTCGAGCTTCTGCGATATTACAAAGATCTCCCTGCGGGTTTGGCGAACCTACTCTGAAATTTTAATTTGTATATATTACAAACAATAAATAAAACATCAAATAGACTAAAAATAGTAATCGCCCTGATTTTCAGAAATTTGTCGTCAATGGCGATTTATTTTATAAATTTAGAGTACGATACATTTTCAAGCAAAACGGCCGAATACTATTTTTAGTGTAAGTAACAGTATTAATATTAAGTAGTATTCGTATTTATCGTCCTTTAAATTTATAAAATAAATCGCCATTGACGACCAATTTCTAAAAATCAGGGCGATTACTATTTTCAGTGTAGGGTTATAAAACATTCCTTTTAACTCTGCCATTTGCCGTTCAGTTGAATCTTTAAAAAAAATAACAACAATTAGAAAATTACACAGTAACACAAATTTATTAACTCACAGAGGCCGATGGGGTTTCTGTAAAAAAAAATATTTTATTAATGCAATCACTATGGATATTGAAACAAGAAAATCAATTTCTTGTGTTTACACTTACCTTCCAAATCAAACTGGACTCGACACACTTTCGATTCTGGCTGAGACATACTAATTTAAAAATGATTAATATAAACAAAAAAATAATTAAATCAAATATAAGTAAAAAATTAAAAATTAATCAAATTATAAAAAATAAACAAACATAAATGAAAATAATAATAAACAGAAAGTAAACGACAACTGTTAACAACGAAAATATTAGTAAATAGTTAGAAATAAATGAAATTATAAAAAATAAACAAAAATAAGGGAAAATAATAAGAAAAAAATTAAATAAACAATAATTGTAGGTAAAGAAAATTAAAAGAATAATAAATAAAATAATACAAGTGCCGTTTTTTTTTTTTGGTACTCGAACCAAGGTAGGTGAATCTTCGAAAGATATTTAAAGCGCCGTCGCAATAAATATACCCGATTCATAATAAAATTACGCCTACGGACTAAACACCTCCTTTACAAAAAAAAAACTAAAAATCCAATTTAAAAAAAAATGCAAACATGGAACTACTACTATTTTTTCTAAACCAGGAATGGCTACCGCATTTCTTCTAAATTCCATTATTGAAAATCTTTTTATACTAGAAGGCACTTACAAATTAAGTAAATATATACCTAGGCCAGAAGAATTCATTGGCTCAATAAAAAAACTGTCCCTATCTTGCAATTCCCTTCCATTAATAAAAATTTCCCCATTTACCTCTTCAAAAGATTCTATTTGAATTGGAACCTCATCTCCTACAAAACAAAAATTGTCTGGTTGCCTATCACTAAGTGTGCAGTCGTTCATTTTAAGATTTCTGCCTACTAGTTTTATTTGTTCTTCTGCTGGGGCTACGTATTTTTCTTCGACCATCTTCCTAAATATTTGTTCTAAGATATGAAATTTTTTTTTAACACATTTTTTAAGGAGCTGCAAGTAATTCTCAAAGGAGTTAAAAGATCCTGAAACCAGATTTCCGACTTGATTAATAGTATCTCTTACATGAAGTAAGCCGTGGACATTGTAAGTCACACTTTTTGCTCCAAATACAATGGGGAAATTTTCAACAAATAGATTTAATATTTCTTGAGCATTTTCAATATTATTTCCCCGTTGCTTTTGCGAACAGAGCAGTCTATATGCGCAGTGCAGTAATAAAAATAAATAATACTGGTCATCAAATATTGAATCTTTAAGAGCTACAATACCAGTGTATAATAAGAACTGCCTAAACTCAGTGCTTTTCCAGTTAGAAAGCTCTAACAGTCCTCGGCTTCCTTGCAAATTCCCTAGGTATAAAAGTTCGCATTCACATTAATTTAGCGGAAATATTGTTTTGGTTTTGTTTTGAAACTTTATTTATGACTTTGTTGTAATAAATTCGTTTTAAAAATTTGCGCATTACCCCCAACTCAAAAAGATGCATACAATCTAAAGGAACTTGGGTTATCATACGAACACCAAGCGTTTCAAAAGCGGACGGACTATTCAAATAATCTTTGCTGTGATGGTTTGGATAAATTCTGTTCGCAAAGTCTTCATCAGTAATTAACTGACTAGCAACAGTACTGTATGTTAATGTACCATCTACTTTGCGACCAACCTGAAGACATTTGGTACAGCCGTGACTGGATGTATGTCCAGGGGTTCCTGTAACAAATGCCCTTGCAGGTGCATCAAAAGAAAGAAGAAAGAAAGAAGAAAGAAGATTATAAAAAGATCGGACAATTCACTAGTACATTTTGACATGTATTGAACACAATTATATGGTTTATTTTTAGATGAAAAAACTCCTACTGGAAAAACGGGGCATTTATTAATATTATTAACTCGAACTAAAATAGGCCACAATTGTGCACGAGAACTCTTACTTAAGGGAAGACCGTCAATATAAACGTCAATACTTAAAACTTCTGGTAGTTCTGCTACCACAGATAATTTTACTAATTGCTTCGATAAGCCAATATGCAAATAGGAACCCCCATCTATTTCCGTAATATCTGGTGTATTCCTGCATTTAAATTTATAAAAAGGCCTAACATATAAATTTTCTTCATTTAAAATTTTGATTAGATCTATAGCGCAACTACGAGTTGGCTTGTGCTTTATATACCACTGCTTCAACTTAAAATTTAAGTCTCCCTGATCGGACTCAATGTTTTCTATATCTTCCTGATTAACTTCTACATTATCTTGACAGCCTAATAAATTTTCCTGATCTACATCTAAATTTTCATGAACTTTTAAATTTTTCTCACCTAACTCTAGATTATCCTGACCTACTTCTAAGTTTTCCTGATCAGCTTCAATTTCCTCGTGATCCCTAATTTCGTCAATATGTACGTTCGAATTCTCTTCAACTAACCTTAATCTTTCACGCAACTGATCCCTTTCTCTTTTAATTAATCTTCTAACCTGACGAGAACCTGGCATTTTTATAAAAAACAAAGGTATTTGTAAGATGAGACCTGGAAATCAAAATATGGCATTACACTTTTGTTTTAATATAAAACAATATATACCAATAATTATTTTTTTTATTACATAAATAACAAATTGATATAATTAAATTGATAACATTAGTTATATTAATTGGTAATTTTCCGTTTTAATATTATTATATAATTTAAAAGATTTAATCATATTGTTGTTAAAAATATGTAAATAAAAATGAACAAATGAGACATTTACAATAATTATTTAAAATGAAATGGATTTATCTATAATAATTATTTATTTAATTTCAATAAATTGATAAATGAATAATTATTTAAATATTGTTTATACAATTTTAATAAATTGATAAAAATAAATAATTACTTATTTATCAATTTATTATAATAATTATTAGTTATTATTATAATAATTATAAGTTATTAAAAACGTGCACAAAGGATTTTTTCTTGTTATGTAATTAGATCCGTTATGTAATTTATTTTATTAATCCACTTTCGGACAATGGAATTCGATTTTTTGGGTTATTTTGTCAAACGCATAAAATAGTTTTTAAACTAACGTACCTTTAAAGTCAGTTTAATGCACAACGTATGAGACTTAACCTAACACTTACCTGGGTTTATAATTTTAACTTTAAGACACGTTGTTGGTAAGCTGATGCGCACAATTCAAATCGATGCTTCTTTTGCAATCACTTTACTTAATTTCTTTTGCTTTCTCTTCGCTGTTGGCACGTGCCACTGCACTTATACCCTTTCTAGATGAAATATATCCGACTATGTCATTTTTACTTCTTAAGTAAAAAATACAATATGAATTTCTTTTAAATGTTTAATATTAACATTTTTAAAAAATGTATATTGTATAATAGTTTTAAATATTGAAATCAATTTTAACGGTCTAAATTTCTATAACTAAACTAAAAAATTATATTGTAATAAAAATGTATAATAAGTAAACATAACATTATAAGTAAATTCAATTTACTATAATCAAATAATTTACTTTTATAAAACAATATTAGTTGTTTTTTTCGATATACAATAATGCTCCTAAAATATTAGAGTATTCACATGTCGCTGCTCCACGAAAATTTTTCCGGCGAAATCTTAGTTGCTAGCCGAACATAACGGAGAGATGCAAAAAAAACAAGGAAGAACGCTATAGTCGAGTGCCTCGACACCCGTTACTCAGCTAAAGGGATCAACGGGAAATGGAGATATGCAAGCAGCAAAGCGAGATTTAAATACGCCACCTACCGGCGGTAGACAGATTTAAGCGTTCTGGGCGTTAGAGTGGGCGTGGCAAATTTCTTTTTTGATCAATCGATAGGTATTGACGAGACCAACACATTTCAGTTAAAATTTTTTATCTATCATGGAAACTGTGGGCGTCACAGGTTTGGGAGGTTTGTGGGCGTGGCAAACTTTTCTTTGGGTCAATCGATAGGTATTGATGAGATTTATTCTAGCGTCAAAACTGTAGGAGCCACAGTTTTGGGCGGTTTGTGGGCGTTAGAGTGGGCGTGGCACATTGCTGAAACAAACTTGCGCTGCGTAAGAAGCTCAGGAATCTTCACGCCAAATCTCAATAGCCTAGCTCTTATAGTTTCCGAGATCTCAGCGTTCATCCGGACGGACAGACAGACGGACAGACGGACATGGCTAGATCGACTCGGCTAGTGATCGTGATCAAGAATATATTTACTTTATGGGGTCGGAAACGCTGCCTTCTGCCTGTTACATACTTTCCGACGAATCTAGTATACCCTTTTACTCTACGAGTAACGGGTATAATAAATGGAATGTTCAACGAATGTTTTTATTTATCTAAATTAGTAGCTTAAGGTTTCCTTCTCGTCCCACGGATGCTTCGCATTCTTTTCCGTGCCACCGCAGTCCAGCTCCGTGTCCCAATGGGCATACTGGACCTTGAGGAAGTGGGAGAACGGGGTTGATCCGCTGATGCTGCATGAAGTCGCCCAGCATCCTGGCAGTGGCTGGCTATGGCTTCTCCAACTGTTCCTTAGCGGGCGCCCTATTTTCCTCCTCCCTATAGAAGCCAGCGGGTCCTCCATCTCCGCTTAAGCTGCCAAGTAGTGGTGGTGGTATCCGGAGATCGTATTACTGGTGGTTCTGCTAAAAAGATACTTCTATTAGTACAACGCAACCAAATTCTTTTGGCCAGCTCTTACTTTCCTTGCGGGGACGCGCCCGGCAGGATGTCCATGTAGAGATCGAAGTCCCACTCGGCATGTTCCTTCCTACTGGGATTCTTTAGTGGATCTCATCCAGCACTTTAACTATTCAGCGAATTCGCCCATTTTGTGGAATTCCTTCCTGTCGGTGAAATCCCACAATAAAGGGCATAAGCTTGGATTTGACGTCCTATTTCATCTGCCCTGACCTCCTGCATCCGACTTTGGGGTTTTCCTTCCATTTTTAATTTTTAGTTTCCACATCGCCTTTGTACGAACACCGCCAAAGATTAAATTTCTTATACTTTGCGCCGCGGCTAACGGCGTTCATCGAAAATTCACTCGATAAATCTGGTATTTTTTCTGGTATTTCCTTAGCTCATCTGAGTACCGCGCTGAAAAACAGACCCGACGAAAAGCGTTAGCCGCGTTTCTGCCTCTCGCTCACTCCTATGGTTAGCTCGCGGTTTTCGTCGATCTGAGTACTACGCTTAATAGCAAGATTATTTCATGCGAAAGCCTAGTACTCAGATCGGCTAAGAGTTTCACAAGTCGAAAAACCTTATTATTAGTTTTCAAAGTTCACCCGCAATGCATGTGGCATGGTCTTACTTTCAAGCAGATGGGCTTGTTGCCAAACGGAAAACAAATCAATTGGAGCAATTAAAAAAAAAAAGAGTCTGCTGGTGCCCAAAGAAGTTAAAATAAAAATAAATGAAATGTTCAACAAATGTTGTTATTGTTTAAGGCTTCCTTCTTGTCCCACGGAGGCTTCGCTATCTTTCCCGCGCCATCTGCAGTCCAGCTCCGAGTAGGCTGGCCAATAATGGCTGGTGATGGCTCCTCCAGCTGTCCCTTAGCGGGCGACCATATTTTCTCCTCCCTACAGAAGCCGTCGCGTAGCTATCAAGTAGCTGGTGGAGGTGGAGTCCTCAATGGAGAGCTCGTCGGAGATCGAACGACGTCCCATGTTCCTTCGCACTGGGACTCTTTAGTGGATCTCCTCCAGCGCTTCAACTGTTATGCGGATTTGCCCCGTTGTGTTATTGCTTCCTGTCGGTCAAATCCCACAACAATGGGCAACAGCTTCGATTAGGTGTCCTTTTCCTTTGCACTGATCTCCTTTAGCCATTTTTGGTGTTTTTCTTTAATTTTTAATTTTTAAGATCCTAACCGCTTCTGCACGAAGACCGCCAAAGATTAAATTTCTTATTCCTGGGCTGCGGCTAACGGCGTTCATCAAAAATTTACTCGCGAAATCCGGTATTTTTTTCTGGTATTTCCTTAGCTCATCTGAGTACCGCGCTGAAAAACAGACCCGACAAAAGGCTTTAGCCGCCTGTTTGCCTCTCGCTCACTCCTATGGTTAGCTCGTGGTTTTCGTCGATGTGAGTACTAGGCTAAATCGAAAAAAATATTCGGTTTAATTATCGCTCACACCTTTTTCCACCGGTCCGGAATCTCTGTCAGCTGACATTGATCAAATGCATGAATTCGTCCGCGTCGCATAAAGAGGAGCAAATTTTATTTCACGCTTTTAAGAAATCATGAAACCCTTAGCATAAACACAGTATGTTAGGACTACGATGATATTTTTCTTAAAAATGAAAAGAAAAACCTGTATTTATACCCGTTACTCGTAGAGTATGTTCTAAAGATGCATGCGCAGCGCAAGTTTGTTTCGTCAGTGTGCCACGCCCACTCTAACGCCCACAAAGCGCCAAAAACTGGCTCTTCCAGTTTTAATGCTTGAATAAAAAATTAAACTAAAATGTATCAATAAATACCTATTGATTGAAATAGGTGTGTAAGTGAAAAATGCAGTTGTGTTTTAGGCGTATCTCATTTCCCCTCACACTCCCTAATGGCCGAGGCCATCGACTATAGCATTTTCTCTTGTTTTGTTATGTTTTGCAGTTGGAAGTGTCGCCGAAGTTACTCCGAGAAGTGCCGCCGAAGTGGCACATTTCTTCCCGACGGGAGTCACTTCCGCGATCCGAATGCGATATCGCCGAAGTAACTTTTGGAAGTGTCTCCGAAGTCACTCATAGAAGTGCCGCCGAATTGGCACATTTCTTCCCGACAGGAGTCACTTCCGCGATCCGATTGCGATATCGCCGAAGTAACTTCTAAAAGTGTCGCCGTAGTCACTTCTGGAAGTTACTCCGAAGTGACTTTACATTTGCTTGTAGAAGATATCTAGAAGAGTCTTTCCCAATTGGAAAAACTTGAAAAAAAACATATTTTTTTATACTTTCAATATTTTGGTTTTATTTTGTGTATAAGTTGTTTGTCCGGTTGTATACACGGTCACTGGCATGTAGGAAATTTTGCTGATCAATGTTATTTAGGTCCAGCTCCGTCGACATAAGAAATTTATTAATAACCATTTCTAAAGGAAACAGAAACAAAAATTATTTTTTGTTCAGTCAAAGTAAAAATAAACTAGAAGACATTACCTTTTACAATGAAATATATTGAGAATCGTTGGATCCGCAGTTACACGCCAAGTACGGCTTTTTTTTCCATTAATTTTGTTTTTGTAAAATGTGTACTATCGTCTATCTATCGCGCAGAAGAGTCTCAGAAGTTACTTCTTCGCGATCCCGACCCTTTTTGTTTTTGTAAAATGTGTGCTATCGTCTTTCTATCGCGGAGAAGTGTCTCAGAAGTTACTTCTTCGCGATCGAGACCCTTTTTGTTTTTGTAAAATGTGTACTATCGTCTATCTATCGTCCGGAAGTGACTTAGAAGTTACTTCTACGCGACACATGTATATTTTGTTTTTGTAAAATGTGTTCTATCGCCGTTTTATCGCGCAGAAGTGTCTCAGAAGTTACTTTTTCGCGACCGCGACCCCGTTTGTTTTTGTAAAATGTGTACTATCCTCTTTCTATCGTCCAGAAGTGACTTAGAAGTTACTTCTACGCGACACATGTATATTTTGTTTTTGTAAAATGTGCACTATCGTCTTTCTATCGCGCAGAAGTTACTAAGAAGTGACTCCTGGACGACAGGCGATAGAAATATCGCCCTTTTGCTTGCAGGGAAGTACTCTAGGTACAGTAGTTATTCAATATATGTGCATACTACAGTGGACGTGGCAAACTTTTGTTGGGTCAATCCATAGCTCTTAATGAGACAAACACATTTCAGTTAAAACTTATAGCATGAGCTCATCCGGTTTGTGGGCGTTAATGTGGGCGTGGCATATTGCGTATCAAACTTGCGCTGCAAGCAGCAAAGCGAGATTAAAATGCGCCACCTACCGGCGGTATACAGATTTAAGCGTTATGGGCGTTAGAGTGGGCGTGGCAAATTTTTTTTTGGACCAATCGATAGGTAATGACGAGACCAATACATTTTAGTTAAAATTTTTTATCTAGCATAAAAATTGTGGGCGTCACAGGTTTTCGCGGTTTGTGGGCGTTAAAGTGGGCGTGGCAAACTTTTCTTTGGGTCAATTGATAGGTATTGATGAGAACAATACATTTCAGTTAAAATTTTAATTCTAGCATTCATTCTTTAGGAGCCACAGTTTTGGGCGGTTTGTGGGCGTTAGAGTGGGCGTGGCACTCTGTTGAAACAAACTTGCGCTGCGCAGGAATCTCAGGAATCTGCATGCCTAATCCCAGTATTGTAGCTTGTATAGTTTCCGAGATCTTAGCGTTCATACGGACAGACGGACAGACGGACATGGCTAGATCGACCCGGCTAGTGATCCTGATCAAGAATATATATACTTTGTGGGGTCGGAAACGCTTCCTTCTGCCTGTTACATACTTTCCGACGAATCTAGTATACCCTTTTACTCTACGAGTAACGGGTATAAAAACAACGTCAAAGGCGAAACTGTAGAAGTGTTTTCAGCAAAACTGATGAACAACAACGCAATAAAACTGCCAACCAGTACACACAAGAGGTTGAGCAGATGACAAAATCTTTAGAAGGTGCATTTATAACAGATGGCTTATCCCTAGAGTTAGCCAGAAGTTATTCCACTCGGCATGCAGTGAAAGCAATGACTAAAAATTGCACAATCGATAAGGTAATAACTATCATGCAAGCTGGTACCTGCAATACAATGAATGCACAGAAGCAACCGGACAGCCAAACACTGTCCTATATTACAAAAATTACCCGCAGCACGGTGGAAATCGCGGACGAGGTAATAATCGGGTAATTATAACAATACCAGATATTTTCAGAATAACGGATATAATCAAAACAATGGTTATAACAGAAATAACAATAACCAAAATAACAATTATTACAGAAACAACAACCGTGGTGGAAACACCAGCGGCGGAAACAGCCGTGGGGGAAACAACAACAACCACAATAACAATGTTAGAGTTGTACAAACAAATTCGGGAAACTCCCAACCACCTTTAGATACACGATAGTAAACAACATCAAAATTCACACTCTAAATCTCAGTCAAAATACATTTGTCACTTTCATGAACGTAGCAACAGGAAAAGAATTAGTTCTCTTACTAGACACAGGTGCGGAAATATCCTTTTTGAAGGAAAATTCTGATAATTTTCAAAACATTCAAGATAATCACATCATAAACATAAAGGGTATAAGTCAGGAAGTTACCAAATCAAAAGGTTTTACTTCTATTGAAATTCAAACTTCTAAGTACATAATTCAACATGATTTCCATATCGTAAATATGAAATTCGCTATTCCATGTGATGGAATACTAGGAATCGATTTTATCAAAAGATACAACTGTCAATTAGACTTCAAGCCGTCTGAAGACTGGCTTATAATAAGACCATATAACCTAAAACATCCAATTTATGTTCCAATAGCATACAGTTCTGGCAACAACTCCCTAATTCTGCCAGCAAGATCCCAAGTCGTCCGAAAAATCGAAATAAATTCAGAAGAAGACAGTGTATTAATTCCGAATCATAAAATTCAGCATGGTATCTATATCGCAAATACCATAGCAACAGTCCAAAATGCATATATAAGATTACTAAATACTACAAACACAGATCAAGTAGTCTATATCAAAAACATTCATCATGAACCACTTTCAAACTACGAAATAGTAAAAACGGACTTAGAAGACAGACAAAAAATTGTATTATCCCAACTTGCAAAAAACTTCCCGCCTCAATTCAATGAACAACTTACAGCATTATGCACCCACTATAGTGATGTGTTCGGACTAGAAACCGAATCGATCACTACCAATAATTTTTTTAAACAAAAGCTGAGATTAATTGATGATGAATCCGTATATATAAAAAAATATAGAAATCCTCATAGTCA